TGGAGGTTCCGATCGGCACAAGATTGCTCACATTCCTTATATCGATATTGATCCCTGATACATAAGCAAACTTATTTCTTTATCTTATTTGTTTGATATGAAATGTGAAGAATGCAATATCATTGTATCACTTTGTGGTCCCTTTATATATAAATATATTCTTCTTTTCATATTTTGTTATGCATGTCGTTAAATTTATACATAAGCAAAACTTCTTTCATCTTATCTTATTTGTTTGATATGAAATTTGAAGAAAGCAATCTCAGCATTAACAATTAGATATCATCTGCTAATAATACAATATCATAATAGATATCATTGAAATAAGCAATAGCTAACTATTAGATTTCTTAAATACAACCCACAAAAATGCACAAAAAATAGTAAGACCCAACACTATCATTTCCCCTAAAACAATAGAATGTTTTATTATAAATAAAACATCTCTTAAAATTCATATGCAGTGTTTATTCAAAGAATTATGATCTTCTGGTCTTCTACAAACATAACACAATTTATAAATATTTTCAATTCTATAGACATGTTTATAAAGATATTGTTTTGATCTTCTGCAAACTCAAAAATTTTGTTCCAAACTTGTTGCCTGTTGTATGAATCCTCGTGCACAAAGAATGGATTTTATGTCCGAAGAGGAATATGGGGTTGTCCTAAAGCAATCCCCTAATTATGTGGAGGATCCCATGGATGTGAACTTTTTGGTTTTTGAAGTGCCAAATAGTAAACAATTCCTAAAGAGACACTTGTAAGCCATAAAAATGCACCTCCGAAGAAGGCACTAGGCTTCAAAATATGGCAATGATCGCCCAAGCACATATTCTGCATACCTTTCTGATCATTTAGTACAAAACTAGCCAATAATAGAAGAAATGTTATGACAAAAGTAACCATGCAGAATACGTGAAACAGGACATTTGCCTAAAAATGATCTCATCAGGTGGCACAAGGTGAGGTAGGTAAGGATTTTGATGTTGAGCAAGATGACTCCTTTAAGGAATTGTATAGTTTAGATGTTTATCAAGTAGCTGAGAAAGTGCTCTCTTATGGCAGTAAGCATTGTATGAGGAAATCAAAAAAAGTGGTTGTTTGGTTAGTTTGGGTGTTTTCTTTTTGTTTGGTTGGTGGCTATGTTGTTGGTCCATCTGGTTTTATTGTTTGGTTTGTTGGTGGGTGTTTAGTGTTGGTTGTGGGGATGGGTTGCTACCTCATCCTCCCTTTGGTTATGATTGTCCTTGTAGGTTTTATTTCACTTTTTGGTATTATTCTTGGATAGCTTGGATGCTCTTGGTGGAGATCGTTCGTTGGGCTGCTGCTCATTGGATTGTATGTCCGTTCTTTTGGGAGCTATTTTGGTGCTGTCATTGTTGTAGATGCAGTCTTTTTGGATCTGAGTGCTACTTTAATTTTGAATGTTGTTGGTTCATCTCTCTTTCAGTTGTATGTTCCTTTGTTGTGTGCTAAAGTTTTTTTTGCCTCTACTTTGTGGTTCTTTTTGCTTCTTTTGCTTGATCATGTATTTAATTTGAATGTTGTATTTTTATAGGGCTTTAGATTCATTAAGGACTTGTATCCTTGATTTTACTTAACACATAAGTCCTTACTGTGAGTTATATATATATATATATATACTTACTTACCAAATCTTAGCCAAGTTCAAATATTACCCAAGCTTTAAATCTGTTTCAAACATATTTATATGTTTTACTAATATTTTAAACATTGAACATTATTATAACTATAAATTTAATAAAAATTAGCATAATTTATTAAATATTATTTAAATTGTTGGATAAAATTTAAATAATTAAAAAATTTGTTACAATAACATAAAATAAATCATCAAAAAAATATTTTTTTAATCATAAAAAATATTTTATCCACATTAGATCATCATTTTATCTTTTTCTCTACAAATTATTTATCTAACAACAAGCATCATATTCATGAATTCAAAAAAAAAAAAAATAGCTTAAAAC